AAGATATTTATTTTATTTGTGTTACTTATTTATTTAATTTGGGGCTTGTTTTAAAATTTCAATTTAGTTTTGTTAATTACATTTACATTATATTTAAATTTAGTCATTTAGCAAACATCTTTGCCCAAAGCGACTTACAAATGAGGACAATAGAAGCAATCAAAACCAACAAAAGAGCAATAATATACAAGTGCTATATTAGTATATTATTATAGTGTTATATTTCAATTTCACAAAGAAATGTGCAGTATTTTGTCCAAGCAATAATAAAAGAACACACTTAATTTATAATTTGTCTTAAATCTCATTTTGTAAAAAAAAAAAAAAAAAATTGTGAATCGAATTGAATCGTGAGTTGAGTGAATCGTTACATCCCTATTCATAAGTGTGGTAAAATCAGTGTAACACATGGCCTCTCGTAGCTTATGCTTTAAACTACAGTAGTGTGTCTCACAGTCCTGACTAGACAAATAACACAGCATGGGAATGCCGCAGGCTGTCTCCCTGCATGTGTGAGTGCAGTCGTTTATTCATGAAGATTGAACACACTCATGCAGCTGCAGTGAAGGCTGCGCAGCCGTGTTTCACACGGCATTTTTGTGATGTAACGTTTGGGGAACGGAAACATAAGGAGATTTCCTCTGTGTGCTCAACTGTGAGTAAGTCTGCACATATTATAGCTCTATCAATAAATGTCTTCTGGGTCTGTGTGTGCACTAATAGAGTTGTGCAGGGCTGGAACAGAAGCGTATTGATTAATTCCTGTGAGTATAACAGCCCATATTTAGATCTGTCTGTCTGAAAACACTGAATTACTCCGCTGAGGAACAGAAGGATGTGGGACTGCTGGGTTTATGTGATGCTTTTATTTGTGTGTCTACACACACTGATTTTAAAAGTACAATCATAAAATTAATTAAAATTGAATAAAGCTTCTCTATGAACAGCATATTCTTTATTGTGAACAGTGCATTTGTCAGCAGCATTTGATGTATTTATGAGAAAAGCTGTGGGTAAACATGTTTAGTTGTGCTTGCTAAACCCTCACTCTATTAATCACACTGACGTGAACAAACCCCTAACCATGAGTGCTAAACGATTCAATTCAATTCAAGTTTATTTGTATAGCGCTTTTTTTAAACAATCACTATGATCACTATTTTGTTAAACGATCACTATGATCACTATTTTGTTAAACGATCACTATGATCACTATTTTTTTAAACGATCACTATGATCACTATTTTGTTAAACGATCACTATGATCACTATTTTGTTAAACGATCACTATGAACATTTGTGGGATCCCCCGTGATCCACCGTGTTCTGCACACAAGGAGGGGCAAAGTTTGTATGTTGTGTTTACAAGCAGTAACTGTTTTACATAGTGCACCTTAAAGTACAGATGTACAGTTGCTTTTAAAAAAGAGAGGGACACAAGCTTTGTCCATGTCATGGACTTTTTTTTTTTTGACTGGGCCAGTTAACAACCCACACATTTCTTTAAAAAAATGTCAAAATCTAGTAGAGACTGAACAATGCACATGCTGCAGCTGGTGTTTGTGCTGCAGATGTAGTGCCAGGTAAAATCATCAGGTTTCAGTGTGTTCTGCTGCTGAAGGATTTTGTATTTCTGGTGCGGAGGCGTGACGTAACACTATGTTAGTTGTCAAGAAGAATCCGTAGTCTAAGGAGCTTCTGCAAAGATGTGCTCCAAGTGTGAATAAATCACCTGCCAGCCTCAGTCTGGTTCACAGTACTTTAGAAATGGTTATATCTGTGCACCCTCCTGATGTCCTCACTTGGATACTGTTACTTTTTGGATAAAGTTACTAACATGAGTGGAAGAATCAAACGTGACTTTGTACAGGCAATGCTGGCAAGTGCTTATAAGTTTGAAATCAGATAATTTTTAAGCTGTTTTTGGAAGAGCTCCCTAATGCTCTCCCAGGCTGCAGTTGTTTAATGAAAAATACAGTAATGTTGCAAAGTATTTTTACAATTTAATTAGAGCCCGACCATTATGGGTTTTTTGAGGGCCGATACCGATATTAGGGAGTAAATAAAGGCCGATATCGATATTTCGGCCAATATTCTTTATGTGTATATTATAGTACAGTACCAGTCAAAAGTTTGGACACACTTCCCATTGGTGTGTCCAAATTTTTGACTAGTACTAGATATAGAATGCTATGGAAGCCCGTTTCCACCACTGAATAAAAAAGGTAATTGCGACTTTTTATCTCACAGTTGTGACTTTTTTCTCATAATTGCGTGATACAAACTAGCAATTCTGACCTTTTTTATCAGAAGTCGAGTTAAAAAGTCATAATTGTGAGATATAAACTCGCAATTCTGAGAAATAAAGTCATAATTGTGAGATATAAACTCACAATTGTCAGAAAAAAAGTCAGAATTGCAAGATATAAACTCGCAATTGCAAGAAAAAAGTCAGAATTGTGAGATAAAAAGTCGCAATAACCTTTTAAAAAAATTTGATTCAGTGACGGAAACGGGCTTCCATAAGAATGGAGATAAAAAGTCGCAATAACCTTTTAAAAAAATTTGATTCAGTGGCGGAAACGGGCTTCCATAAGAATGCAGTATATACATATAAATAAACACATTTTTTGCAATGATCACTCAAATGTGGTGATCAAACACTTATAATGACATGACAAAGATATGTAATGGAGGCAGGGTATTTAACAATTTAACAATACACTTTATTATCCAAAATGAGTCTGACATCAGTGCACTAAACAGTAAAGTTGAAGTTTAATCCACTTTATTTCAATTCAGTTCCACAGGATTAAGAACCGCTGCTTGATAGCATTGCATCTCACCAACTAGGTGATAACATAGCACTAAATCACCATTCAACAGACTCAAGCCACCACTGCACAAACTAGTTAGCAACTTCCCGTTAAGACAGCGCTTGACTCTCAGTCGTGAAGACACTGCTTGAATGCGGCTGCGTGAACAAGAGACCTCCTTACTGAAGTGAAAGTGTTGGCTGTCACTATCTCGCGAACGCGGCGGCGGATCTCCACCAAATTCAGGGATCCCTTCAGCTCAAGGCCCCCGCTCAAACGCCGCCCTCCACGCGTCGGTAGCCCCTCGGGATCGACCGGCCATGACTTTGACCGCCCGTAACTCCTGGAGTTCGAGAGGGAACCTCAAGCTGAAGGGATCTCTGAATTTGGTGCGGATCGGTCGCGCCGTTACGGAGATACGACCGTTCAGATTTTCAATGGTTTTCCATACACTTAAGCTTTAAAGCATTTCATCCAGATCGCCAGTAGCAAACAATAAAGCTCAGTCTGCTGGACAAATGTAATTACACAATTTACAAGCATTTTATCTGCGTTATGTTCTGTAAAAAAAAAATTCATATCGGCCGATAAAGTCGGCAAAACTATATATCTGTCGGGCTCTAAATTTAATATAATTTTTTTATATTTTAAAATGGAATTTTCAATATGTGGATCATGTGAACTGAAGACTGGAGTAATAATGCTGAAAATTCAGCTTTGATCACAGAAATAAATTACAGTTTAACATACATTATATTAGCTGATTTTAGCTATGTACTTACATCAGAGATAATCAGTTGTTTGGTACAGGGTACTTATTGTGTTGATGTTGTATTGCAAATCACATTTGCTGAGAGGTGGAATATGGGTAAGGTTAGGGACAGGTTTAGTGGTAGGGTTAGCTGGTTTAGGTTAGGTTTAAGGGTGGATTAAGGGCTGGAAAGAGTCAACAGTGTAATTATACATGTAACTACAGATGCACAGGAAGGAATTTTAAAATATTAGTACAATGTAAAAACATGTACACCATAAGTACATTGTATCAAATTATTAGTTTAAATGTAAGTATATAGTATTTAAAAACACTTAACATTAAGTGGATCCCACAATATGCTATGAATGAAATTATAATAATATTTCACTATTACTGTTTTACTTTGTTGTTTGATCAAATAAATGCAGCTTTGGGATAGGGCTGTCAAAATGGCTGAAAAACTAGATTCGAATTTTGTACTTAAATATAATCAAAATTCGAATTATATTCTAATTTAAAATGCATAATGAACAACGCAGCAGCGCCGCATCTAGTGGCTTCAACTGGATATCCTAACAAAAACATTATAATGCAACGACACTTACATCGTCATCGCATCTCGTGCACCGCTGATAAGGCTGCCTCCTTAACGCACACCTAAAAACGTTTTTGCATTCGAATGTGGATTTTTATTTTCAATTCGACGAATATTCGAAATGAAAAATTTTTTTACAGCCCTACTTTGGGAAGCATACCTTCTTTCATAAACATGAATTATTAGAAAGTCTTGACCAGTAGTGTGCTTTAATCGCATGTTTGAAACGTTCGTTGGTGGTTCTCCACTGTGAAAGACGAGGTGACGTAGATGGTGGAGCAGAGATCCTGCTGCTGTTCGGTGCATGTAGGGACAGACGGATGCACTCACTGAACCGCTGCATAATGCATGAGGCTGCTGGAGCTACGAAAGCCTCTCTCTTACACCAGTATATTTCCTTGTGCACATTCATCAGGGCCTAAACATGACACCCTACACACATTTGACTTCTTTAAAGAGTGAAACACGGTATAAATGTAATGTGGGACTCTGTTCTGTTCTACATGAGGAATTGAGTGAGTGGTGAAAAGTGTCACTGTATGATTATATGCTGCTGCAGGATGCTGGAGGTATTGAAGAAAAGAGACACTCAATATAGAAGATCTTTATGAGTTTAGGAGCTGAAGGCTCTCGATCTCCCGTGAGATCTTTCTGTCTGCCTGTTCCTCACTGCAGCAGCCCTGAGCTGATTTATTCGCTGCGATTAATATCAAGTGTATAATGATCCTGAATAAGTGGTTTTCATTTGAGTTTATATATCTGGGTCTCATTCCTCAAAGCAGACGATTGCTGTGCGATTGGTTGTTTTAATTGGTTGTGTGTGTGTGTGTTTCAGGACCGCAAGCTGACGAAGGTGGAGAGGCAGCGCGTTAAAGAGGAGGCTGAGATGTTGAAGGGTCTCCAGCACCCAAACATCGTGCGCTTCTATGATTTCTGGGAGTCTCCGCTGAAGGGGAAGAAGTGCATCGTGCTGGTGACAGAGCTCATGACGTCAGGCACGCTCAAAACGTGAGGAGCGCTCTGCTAAACCTCTCAGACGGACACATGATGTAAAACATTTAAAAAACCTCATTGGGTCAAGCTCAGGCCAATGAATTTAAGCATTTCTGAGACTAAACCAAGGCCCAAAATTGTCAAGCCTCACTCAACTCACAAGTAGTTTTCTCTCCGAGAAAGTGATGCCAACTTTATGCCAGCTTCACTTTAAAGGACAGTAGTAGACAATAACTTGAGGGACACACTAAAAATGTGTATTATTATTGTTAAATTAAATTTAATAATTGAAGAAATCTTTACAGTAAAGAGAATATAGACCTACTCAGCAGTGTAAGCAAATTACAAAAAAATCGATATCAAATTGAAAAATTATGATTTTGGTAGTTTAAAATGTTGTAAAAGTTTGCTTTTTTTAATCAAATTTTAACAATATGTTAAAAATGTATGATGACAGCTTTAAAATATATTGTTCAGCGTTTCAGGGCGGTAAGATCGTGATCTTTACTGGCGACACAAAAGGCACCAAATGTAAGGAGTGACCTACATAATAGTTAAAGACACCTAATATAAACTGGGTCTGTAGCTTTTATGAAATGCTATATTTCAAGTCTTCTAAAGTCGTGTGATAGTTCTGTAGTTGTTTAGAGGCATCGGGATAAGTCTGATGTCACTCATACCGTACGGCAGGGGTTCAGTTTGGAAGTGCATGATGGAGAAAGGAGACTTTCACTGGGTAATTCCTCTCACAAAGCTATCATATGACTGCAGAAGACACGTGAACCATACACTGACTGTTGTTATGGTAATTTCATGCTGACTTTGGGGGGCTTTTATGGTGCTCTTTTGTCTGTTTAATTGTCAGTAAGAGTTGAGATGTGTAAGTCTCCTTTGGCTTTCCAAGAAGGAAAAAGCCACATGATTTTGTGATGACATGATTTTTGGGTAAATCACTCCTTAAAGAAAAACAGCTTTTCTTTGAGAGCGAGAGTTCTTGAGTAGCCACTGTTACACACATGCAAGTGTTTGCAGTTGATGCAAAATACAAGTAATGCTAATTGTGTTTTGTTTTCTCCAGGTATCTGAAGCGCTTCAAGGTGATGAAACCCAAAGTGTTGCGCAGCTGGTGTCGTCAGATCCTCAAAGGCCTGCACTTCCTTCACACACGCACTCCTCCCATCATCCACCGGGACCTGAAGTGTGACAACATCTTCATCACGGGGCCCACGGGCAGCGTGAAGATTGGAGACCTGGGTCTGGCCACGCTCAAAAGAGCCTCCTTCGCCAAGAGTGTGATCGGTGAGACAGCAGTCCACTCATATACAGCTTTTGTGTTCTTTTATAGAACGGAGAGTTCCGGTGCTTGATTCTGATTGGCTGAGCTGCGTTCGAAGCTGTTGTAAATTACTCTACAAACATACACCTTTGTTTACTTCTGTGTGTTGCTCGGCAACCACTTTGTAGCAACCACAACTGTTTCTGAGGAACTACATTGTTTGGTGGAAGAATACTGTTTATATTAATATCATTACACTTTATTTGCTCTGTTTTATTTTGTGAAACCTTTCTACGTATATGGAATAACCGTTTTATAAAAGCAATAAGCCCCGTTCCTAACAACGCCCCTTAGCTGTTATAAATTCACTGTAAACCACGGCTTCCCGGGGCTTATTGCTTTATTATGACCTATTCTGGTTCATCCGATTATGCTTTCAGCTACCAATGAGTGTAGTACTCGTTTGACCACGTTCAAACCCATTTCACAGATTCCCCCCACCACAAAAAACATCTATAGATTACAAGACCACCTGCAACATTTTGTCATTAATTTGAGATTAAGCTAAATTGAGCCCCATTAAAGCAGAGTGTGTGTTTCTCTGTGGATCAGAACATCATTGCATGCTGTCATTTGTTTGTGTGATCATATCCTCAGGTACGCCAGAGTTCATGGCTCCAGAGATGTACGAGGAGCACTACGATGAGTCCGTGGACGTCTATGCGTTTGGCATGTGCATGCTGGAGATGGCCACGTCTGAATACCCATATTCAGAGTGCCAGAACGCCGCTCAGATCTATCGCAAGGTCACCAGCGTAAGTCACACCACACTTAAACATATTTTCTCATGTTCTTACTGCAGTGGTCATTTCAGGAAGAATGCTGTGATTGTGTGACTGATTTAGTCCTTGAGATCTGTTTATGAAGATCCGCCGCAGCATGTTCCTACATGTTCATAGAGCACAAACAAGGAAATATAAAGCATTAAAAGTCAACATATTATTCCCTTGAATTGGAGTCTCTCCACAAACATGACTATTTTCATGGAAAACTCTATTCTGAAAACCTCTGTTGTGGATGAGCAACTGCATTAATACCAGTTTGTAGCATTATGTTGTAACATTTTTGGAATTGATCCTTCGCAAAAGACCTGCCCCCCTTAGTTACTGTTGCTACGTCCACTCTCACGCCACACATCATGTTCTCACGCAGTGAAAAATACATCGCGGAGCAAAGAGAACACTGAGAACATGCCAACAGACGAGACAGAGCAGGTTACTTTAGGTATGAAACGAAGTCTCAGCTTTCAGATTTTGTAAGGAATTCAAACAATAAATAGCGTTTTGTGGCTCTTTAATGTGTGGTGACAGATCGCTGTAGCGCCTCAGTTCAAGCGGCACGAGAACTGATCATCTCTTCCTCTTAGTATCTAAAATAATTATATAATGATAAAAAAAAAAAAACTCAAATAATTAAATAAAATAATTAAATTGTAGCATTCCAAAAGTTTGGGAGCGAAATGAATTCTTGTGGGTGAAATCAATATCTTTTGCTTCTTTCTGTTCTTTTTTTTTATTTAAAGCTTGGTTTGTCTTATTTTAATGCATGCAGTCTTGGTTCCCTGTGGTTGAGAATCATTGATCTGGACTCTTCAGAGAGTCAGTCATTATCTTATATTCATATGTTCTGTGTGTGATTTATCTTAAACTATTAAAAGTGTTGGGTTAATAGTTTTAGAGCCAGGTCTAATGAATTAATGTGTGTGTGTTGTGTGTTGTGTAGAGGGGGCTGATGGGTATTGATTTCAGTGGCTAACTCGATCAGTGTTTCAGCTGTCCTGCGTCGTCTCTGTTTCTCTGGGAGTGTGTGTTTGATGGTCAGGGCTTCTCCAGCTCTCTGTGGGGTTTCAGCGCTGCGCTCACACTGCTGACTTCAGCACATCATGCATATGAATATGCTTCATGGAATTCAGATGAACATCACCTTGACTTGTTTCGTCTTTTTTTGAGTGAGAAAAAGAGCAAGAAGTATCAATGATTTCTTTCAGTGCTGCTGCTGCACAGAAGGCCAAGAAAGGAAATATGGAGAAAGTCACCGCTTTTATTGTTTTTGTTAGGTTGTTCTCTTTCTCAAGAACACATCCAGGTTATATTTCACCCCAAATTCAGAATATTTAGATCTCCTGCTTTGCTTTTGACATTGATGATTAAAGAGATGGTTCAACCCAAAACAAAAATTCAGTCATTTACTAGTTTCTGTTTTTCTGCAGAGCACAAAATAATATTTTCCACACAGTCGTGGTTCATAACCCCCCCCAAAAACACGCCATTAAAAACTTGTGCATTATATTTTGAAGTTATGTGATACTTTGTGTGACAATTAGACTGAAATTTAATTTATCCCCTGAAAATCACTAAACTAACATTGAGTCAGTAAACTGGAAAACTGGTTCAAAAATTGGACTCAACAATCAGAGTTCAGCTCACTGGAGGGAAAGATTACCAGTGAACAACAACGTCAGTTTTTGGTCTGTTCCTCACAAACAGATACGAATGACTTAAATGTGCTGGTCCTCTTCAGTTACTGAATCTCTCTCTCTCTCTCTCTCTCTCTCTCTCAGGGGGTGAAGCCTGCCAGTTATAATAAGGTGATGGATCCTGAGGTGAAAGAGATCATTGGCGAGTGTATTTGTCAGAATAAGGAGGAGCGGTGAGTACCGACAGCTGCTGAATGTCCATGAGCCCAGAACAGTTCAGACAGAGACAGACCTGAGCTGCCCTGCTCTTGACTGAAACACAGACTCATGAGTGCATTCAATTTCAGGAGTCGCCAACTGATGGACTCTAGTCCCAATCTGGACCGTGAAGCCTTTTGACATCATGAAATAAATACATAAATGCCAAATGCTGTTTTCTAATAAAATCTAATGTATATCAAGCACATCGAGGTCAGCTCAGCAGAGCCATTTGGGTCCTAGGCGCCATAAAAAGGGGGGCTAGAGTGAGGAACGGCCAGAGGGTTAGAGTGAGCAGAGGCCGGGGGCTAGAGTGAGCAGAGGGCGGGGGCTAGAGTGAGGAGAGGTGTCGGGCTTGAGAATGGCGCCGCCGGCGGATTCGACGAATGACGTAGACGTGGGGGCGTGTTAGAACGAGCCGTTTTAGGTAGGCGTGGTTGACTCTTAACTTTTATAAAGAATATCTCTTTGGATTTGAGACTTTAGTCTTTGCAACTTTACAGATCTTCTTTATGCACCAAGAGCTTGTAACACTCCAAAGAGAAAGGAAAAATTTTAATCGCATCATATGACCCCTTTAAATGGTACAAGAAAGTCTTAATTATGATTTCAGGAGGTCTTAAATTTGGGGAGGATAGACGAGAATTGCGATACGGCTGAATGTGACGATTAAACTTCAAAAGGCTGTGATTTCATTGAATAAACATGAGCTCTGCTGTTACCGGGGAAACCACTGTATTTCTGCTGTTCTGACAGTGCCTCCTGCTGGCAGAGAATGAGTGCGTTTCACTCCGTTTTTGTTCAGACCAATGTGAAAATCAACCCATGTTTTTAGATTAGCCTCTAACACACACACTGGCGAGTAAAATCTAAGAATTTATTAGCCGATGGCTAACGATAGACATTATTTAGTCGCCCAGAGTAAGATTTACTCACATAGTAGAGGGTTGTCAATTTTATTTTATTTGTGCAGGTCTTTAAAAAAGTCTTACATTTGAGCTTAAATATCCTGCAGATACCCTGGTCTGGTAAAAACCATCAGTTCATGTTTTTATTCTCAGATTTTACACTCACCAGTCTCAGATTGACTAACAGTGAAGTAAACACTTCAGCAGGCTACGCTTTAGTGTCCCATTACTATGCTAGCATAAAATGTCTTTATGACCTTAAAATTAATAATGCATTCAAATAATAGAAAAAGTATTTGTTAGATGCAGTCACTCCTTGTTCTTGCTGGATAACAGGTGATCCAGCAGACAGCATGATATTTCAGATAAACAACTAAAACTACAATGCAATGGTGAGTGTGTGAAGTGATGGAGACAATTGTGCAAAAAGTGGCGGGAACTTTTGTCCCACCTATCCCAACATGTAAATGAGCTTATGCTACCAGTGTCTACTGTACTAAGGAACATTTCCAGGTTTACCTTTTGTTTTAATGAAACGTTTTCAGAGGAATTGTAATTAAATCATGCAAGGCATGTGTGCTATTCTGTGTTAACTATGAAGGAAACAGAATAACTTTTCAAGCAGTTCAGACAAATTTCCAGGTTAATCCACCGCCCACATTCGGTTTTATCTGAATACAGACACAAATAATTTTGCCATCGCAGCGGACACGGATCGTGTTGATCATTATAGTGTTGAATGCATTCATCAAACACAGCTGTTCAACCCTGTTACCAAACATACTGTACGAAAATTAAACACTTTATAGTTTATTTTATGGGATAAAAAGTTTATCTGTAAATACAAACCAAGTTTTATTCCCAAAGCAGCTAATCCCTGCTGGGTGACTGCTTAACTTCTGAACCTGCAGCTCTATTATCAATGCCGCTTGGTTGTAATTCTATGCATTTTTATTTCAAATGCAATCAGTCGATGTTTATTGCTAGAAAATAAATCACACAAGTGTTTGAAAGGGCTTAAACTGTAATCACACACGTCCCAAATGCTGTCAATAGGGCTCCAAAGTGCAAGCAGAAACTAAATCACTCATAATATACAGTAGTTTGAGTTTCTGAGGTTGTCGATCAGCATTTCCTGAAGGTTACGCGCCTTTGACCTTTTGCTGGAGAAGAAAGAAAATGATTTTAATTGTACTTTGTGCCCTGTTGCGTCCAGTAACGGCTCCGCCGACAAAAAGTGGTGGGAACTGTTGCCAAAAAACAATGTCTGTCCACTAAAGAACTTCATGTTAGGTACCATTTGTTTTAATGAAATAGTATAATTTTGTCTATAATTAATATCATAAAATAATTTTGTCAATTATACAAGGCATATGCTATACTGTATGTTAACTATGGAAGGAACAGAATAACATTTTGAAATGGGATTTTCATGTAGTTCAGACAAATTTCCAGATTAATTCCCACGCACAGTTGGTTTTATCTGAATGCAGACACGAATAATTTTGCCATTGATCATGACTTTGCTACATTATAGCGTTGACTGCATTCATCAAATTCAGCTGTTCAACCCTGTTACCAAACTTATTGTAAGAAAAAAGAAACACTTATTTTATGGGATAAAAAGTTTGTCTGTAAATACAGAAGATTTATTCCCAAAGTAGCTCGTCGCAGCTGAGTGACTGGTTAACTCATTCTGCTTGTAATCTGTGCATTTATCTTTCAAATGTGATCATTTCATGTTTACTTCTGGAAAATAAATCACACAAGTGTTGGAAAGGGTTTTAAATGATTTAAATCATAATCGCACATATCCCAAATGCTGTTAATAGGGTTTCAAATTGCAAACAGAAGCTAAATACACTCATATAAAGCGCAGTAGTTTGACTGAGGCTGTTGTTCAGAATTTCCTGAAGGCATATCACCATTTGTGACCTGTGCTGGCAAAATGAGTCACAATGAGCAAATAAAAAAAAAATGTTCAGAAGACCTTCAAAATAATGTATGATTTGTCGGAATCGGACGAAAAATGACTGAGCTCCACCCGTTTGAATTCGATAGAGTCAGCAAACTCAATTCTGAGAAAAATCAAGTTTTCTGAAGGTTCCAAAGTGAATCAGCGAGCAATATTGCATCTTTTCCTCCACTTCCTTTCTTAAAAATACTATATTAATAATCACAATATAGCTATTTTTATTTTATCTTTGTTATTATAAATAAGAACCGATGCAAAAAAAGCAGAAGAACAAATATAAGAAAGAAACAAATAATGCATTACCTTTTCCATTTTACATCTAAACAAGCATTCAAGAAAAACAAATAATCAAATGTAAAATCCCCTTAGTGTGTTCATTACAAATAAATTGACTATTAAAACTACAAAAGCAGTGTCAACTGCAGCGAGTGATTCTTTTATGGTTAGATTAACATTAATGAGACAGATGGCCTATATAGTAAGTCCTACTGTAAAGCACATATCTAACATAATGTTACACATCAGACGTTTTTCCCCAGCAGTTCCCCAAACATTCGCTTAAGACATAACTGATTATGTTTGCGTGAAAACTTAAATACTGTAATAATCCTATGTATGTGTATATTTATCGGGATTGCGTGCTGAAGCAAGCAGAGAAAAGGTAGTCCTCTTAGAAAACGTACAATTAAAGATATTTTTAGATGTTTAATTACTATTTGAAACATTGGGATCGCTAGACGAGGGTTTAATGAACTAACTTTTGTGAAAACAGAATTTGACTGAAATCAATATTTTTCACCTTTTTTTTTGCCTGTAGCTCAAAATTAGACTGTGCATTCCCACTCGTTTTGGCAGCACAGCTCACAATTGCTGAAGAAGAAAACCGTTTATTTGAACGTTGTGCCCTCTTGCGTCCAGTAACCGCTCCGCCGATGCTCTTCCCACAGTTACTCCATCAAGGACCTGCTGAATCACGCGTTCTTCGCGGAGGACACCGGCGTGAGGGTGGAGCTGGCGGAGGAGGACGACGGCTTGAAGACGTGCATTGCGCTGAAGCTGTGGGTGGAGGATCCCCGCAAGCTGAAGGGCAAGTACAGGGACGGAGGAGCCATCGAGTTCAGCTTCGACCTGGAGAAGGAGGTCCCTGAAGCCGTGGCGCAGGAGATGGTGTGTGTTCGAGCGATTTGACCACCGTAATGAGATCAAAGAGAAATTATTGCATTGCGTTTGATTCAGTTATTGAATCCAGCTTCCTAACAGAACTGTTCAGTTTCAAAATAACCATGTAAATGTAGTAAACAAGATTTAACTGTGGTATGTGAACACCACAAACACAAGCGGTGTGTTTCATGGCCCATGAAATCTGACGTTGTCTTCCTGTTTCACTGGTATCTTATCTATCCACACTGATCTAGAGATATTTCCAGTCTGTATTGTGAAACACAGGAGTTAATGGAATAATGTCCTGGCCAGCAGTGAATTATCCTGTTAGAGCGGTGGGTGATATGTTCATGAATGAACTCCTTTCTATCCTCTCGTAACCTCTGCTCGTGAGGCCATTTTCCCTTTCAGGTTTTATTTGGCCACTTGAGTCCTGTGTTTGGTCACACTTGTTGAGACTTCATGAAAACCACCCTCACTTTCTCAGGAACTCTGGATCACCTGCTTTAGTTCTTACCAAAACCGGTTTGGAGATTTTAATACAGGACACACTTATGCTGAGCAGTCAAAGCCACTTGAGCGCATTATATATGCTCAAACATGCGCTTAAGGACAGTATGCGACCTCCTGGACCCGTTTGGATTGGAAAATCTTGTTGCTGTAATCACACGTTATGTAATCGGAGCATTTTAATGTGTGGGAGCGTTTGCTAAAGAGAAAATGAGTCGGCAGCTGCTATTTATACGGATCGCTGCAAACATTACAAAGGTTTTCTTGTTTCACCCTGTCAGCCATTTGTTCACTAGACAGATATTGATCTTTCCGTTTTGCCATTCTACACAAAAACCTTCATGGATGAATCTCACAAAAGCGCAAAATTAATGTTAGCACTGTTTTTGTTTTTTTATATGACAGTTATCCTCTGTAATGTGAGAAGATCTGCAAAGTGTTGTGCATCTATAGTTTTTAAATCCTTTTTTGATTATGTATTAAAATAAAATAATACAATGTAGTGCAATGAGAATTGCCAGAATCAAATATTTTATATTTAATATAATATGTTTAAATGTGACCCTGGAGCACAAAAGCAGTCTTAAGTCGCTGGGGTATATTTGTAGCAATAGCCAACAATACATTGTATGGGTCAAAATTATAGATTTTTCTTTTATGCCAAAAATCATTGGGATATTAAGTAAATATCATGTTCCATGAAGATATTTAGTACATTTCTTACAGTAAATAAATCAAAACTTAATTTTTGATTAGTAATATGCATTGCTAAGAACTTCATTTGGACAACTTTAAAGATGATTTTCTCAATATTTAGATTTTTTTGCTCCCTCAGATTCCAGATTTTCAAATAGTTGTATCTCGGCCAAATATTGTCCAATCCTAACAAACCATACATCAATGGAAAGCTTATTTATTCAGCTTTCAGATGATGTATAAATCAGGGTCACAAATTTCTGCTTATTTTTATTTCCAGTTTTTATAAATTAGAGACAGCACATCAAAAGCAACCATGATTTCATTCTTCTTCTTTTTTTTTTAACAATTGTTCTTGTTGTCGTTAGTCATATTTGGTTGTATTTTTCTTCTGTATAGTGCAGTGCATCTAGTTAAAGCTTTCCTCCAAAGACAGTTTTCCTTTAATTCTGTGATCTGCGTTCCTCTGTTCCTTAAATAGAGCCCTCACTTCTGCTCTAAAAGTGCGTGTTCACACCAGCCCCCTCTCATCCTTCCATCAGGTTGAGTCTGGTTTCTTCCATGAGAGCGATGCAAAGATAGTGGGCAAGTCTCTCCGTGACCGAGTGGCTCTGATCAAGTGGCGCAGGGAGAGGACGGTGCCGAGAGCCTCCCAGGCCGTGCCGGGTGAGACGGGGCCCGTCCTCTGTGAACCGCCCAGTCTGCTGGAGCCTGAAGAGCCGGAGGTGGATCAGCATGTCCTCATGTGTCCGCTCGGTGCCAGGACCACCTCCACCACATGTAAGCCTGCATGCTTGTGAAGGTTTGGGGTTAAATACAGCTTCAGCTCTATGGAGAGAGTCTTCCACATCATGCTGTTTACCGAAGAAATTAAGCATTTAATAATAAACACTGAATCTTTGTTAACACCCAAATAATCACAGAAGTACACTAATGCATTTGGTCAAATATGAACCATTATTAATAACTGAGCAGCAAATCAGTATATTAGAATTTCTGAAGATCATGTGACACTGAAGACTGGAGTAATGATGCTGAAAATACAGCTGCGCATCACAGAAATAAATTACAGTTTAACAGATATTCACATAGAATGCTCTAAATACTAAAATAACTATTCAAATATCAGACTGCTGTTAAAATATGAACATGAGTCACAGACTCCCTTACAAACATAGTTTGTGTAACAATCTCCAGTCATTTTACTCATTTTGTTACCATGTAAACTAAGGGACGAGTGATTCTGTCGTGTGTTTGGTGCAGAATATTCCTAGTACGTGTTTGTCTTCTCTCTGTGTCTCTCTAGCTGACAGTGGCATCGGCTCAAACGTGTACTCGGACTCCCACAGCAGTGGTCTGCACAGTGTCATACACCAGTCATTACAGGAATCTGTCTCCACAGCAAACCAGCAGGTCCGTATCACTCCCCATCACTGTTGCTGATGCACGTCAGAAACCATAGTGATCTGTGAAGTTTGCATTGCCCTGCTAGCGTGTGAAGTGTGCGGGCACATGCATGCTTGTACTTGCATAGCTTTTAAATATAGACCATCATTTTATCATAATGACACAATGTTTGCAGCTCTGTAACTGGACCGTGTTTTCACCTTGTCATCAACCACTTCATTTTTGCCTGGTGGTTTCATTATTTTGCTTATGTAGCATGCATGATGACATGGTTTGTGTTTCATTAGTCTGTTTTGTTAGTGGTGTTGGCTAATGCAGGCGTCACTATCACTGGTGCTCACACTCATCTGTGCTCCAGACATGAATGATTCCTTAAAGTTATGCAGCTTGTTGAGAAAACAAAAAGATGTGCTGTTACTTTTATAAGCTATCAGATGTAAAATTTTCATCTGGATGATGATAAAATTACAAAAATAAATAAATAATAAAATAAATAAATCTATGTCTACAGAGCAGAATATCATAGAGATTATTTTAAACAGCTGTCATTTTAAAAGTGGGATATCTACACCTGGAAAAAGCTATGGCAATTAAAATCCTAAACACTATATTTTTGTAATGAATATAGTGTATTGTACACACAACATTTTAGCCTATTCAAACATCATTCAATTTTCCTCTAAAAATGTACAAATCTAGTTTGTTGTGTCCTTTATTTGTTGTGTGTTTTTAGCTCTGCGCTACAGGTCCTTGTTTGCCATTCCATGATAATAGTTCAGAGAAGTGGCTTTTCTTCCAGGGTGCACGTCATGAAGGCACTTCTGTAAATGAGTTAATCAGAAGTCACGAGCGTCTCTGTTTCCTGCTCCAACCCACGAGTACTTCCTCCTTTCAAATACCACGAGACCAATCAGAGATGACAGAAGATGCATTCGGAAGTTCTTGCAATGGAAATTTGCTGCGCGCTCCTTGGCCTGTTACGACTCGTCGCTATAGCGACACATCAGTGGGGCCGTCCTCTGAGACAAATGGGGAGGAGTCTGTCTCCATGGCAAGGCAGGGGCGTCGGCTTTCGTTAAGCCCCACCTCTCAGCAGCTGCCACCCCCATGTCAGGGCTGCCTGTCGTTATTCCTGCTTGGGACATGTGCAGATAGAAGACATTCGCCCTATTCTTCATTTATGCTTCCGCACATCCCTGATGTCCGCAGGGGCTCCTTCAGTGAGACCTCTGACCTCTCCCAGCTTAACAAATCTCTGGAGAGCATCACAGGCCACAAACATCAGCCTGCTCCTGCCTTTCTGAGAGCCCCGCCGATGACGTCCGAAAGAGTCAGCCAAAGCGATGACCTGACATCCCGTCGCAGAGCGAGCTTTTGTGCTGGCGAGCGCTCTGTGACTGATGTGGTAGGTCGCTCCGCCGGAGGACACGGTGTCACCCTGCCGCTTGTAGAGGAAATGCTCTGGATTCCTCCAGCCTTTGCAGTGGTTCTGCTGTCGCTCCCAGGTGCCTGTAGGACTCTTCTCCTCTATGCTTCCTCTCAGCGGCTGTAACCGTACTTACCTGTCCCTACTGCTATTCTCTAACAGAGGAGATCCCAACAATCCACTTTCCTCCCCGAAACCTACCCATTAACCACGCTTACGATATGTCTGATGTCATGATGCTAAACTTCTTTATTAATCGTTTCATGCTTTCATTTGACCTAGTTGTGTGTGGTCTGCATGGCTCTGTGTTACTCACTGTAGCAGCTGTCGGCGTTTGCTGTTTTATTCGTACACAACAATCCAACATACTAGACTTTGGGCCAGATTTACCAACAGCTTGAGGCAACACAAACCCACTTTAGGCTTTAAAAAATTTCTGTCAGGATTTACTAAAGACATGCGGTGAAAAATAAGTGATGAAAAGGTATGGACAAAGTTATTTTTGCATATGCATTTGTAGGAGTTTCCCTTTCAGACGCAAAGGGAGGAGAGTATTCATGCAAGGCGATTTAGTAAGGTTTCTGCTAGTCAGTTTACAGGTGTTTGCACCATTATTTAACGCCCCAAAAAAAGCATGTCTTAACCCATTTTGTGCCTGTGTTGTTAGTAGATTACCTGCAGCTGATTATCATCGGCTCTATTTGTTTGCGACCTTATGCTAATTTGCACTGCTCTTGGTAGATTGCGTTGGTCATTATGAAGATGAGCTGTGTTCTTTAATTTGTGCATTGTCTGTAGATCAACCGCAGAACTTTCCACTCCCATCAGTGCTTTTATGCGATTGTGGTCTAAAGCAAATTTGCCCTGTTTAGTAAATCTGGCCTATAGTTTGTGTAATGGAACGGAAGTGTATGTGGGTTCTCATGAGTTTGTTTCCTCTTCTGCAGTATTCTGTTCTGAGAGTCCAAAGCCAGGCTGCACCGGCTGCAGCTCAACACATGCAGATGTACCCTCCTGTCTCCTCAGAGACCCCCGCGCAGGCCACCGGACAGATTCTGTCCACTCCCCAGCCGCTGGCACTTCTGCAGGGCGTCTCGACTGCACCACAAACCGTGAATCCACAGCAGCTCGCATCTACAAGTCAGACTGCAGAGTTGAACGCGCAGGCCCATGTGCAGCATCAGCCTGCCTCTGTGCCACATAGTGCCACGCGTCCGAGTTACCATCCTGCCGCAGCAGAGCTAGCCATTGCACACACATTTCCACCCATGCAGCACACTGAACTCAGTCTCCCATCTAAAACAGAAGCAGCGCTGCCTGCAGATCAGAGTTTTCAGAGCGGAGCATCTGTACAGCCTCAACAAACACCTGTGTTACAACATTTGCAGCAACCAACTGCGAATGCCACAACAGATGGGCAACACCGCGACTTCTCAAACGTGCAGCAAACTGCTCCTGTGCAGCTGAGCCAGACCGGCCCTGCACCACCTGTCCCACAGGTATGCTTGTTTGTCATTTATTGTTTTTATCTTTTATGTGAACCCTGCATGCAATTCCCAGCTGTTTGAAAACCTGTGCTCAATACCACCTTCAGATGTGAAACCTATCATCATATCTTATATCTTGAGCAAGTAGCAAACTGAACGGGATAAGTGTATAAAAATCAAACTACTATACACAAAAGCAGTTTCAGTGTTGGAGAAATTTTTTTTTTTACTATTCTGTAATTGTAAGACCAGATCATTTGTACCCAAAGGCCACTCCAGACATACGTTTCTAATATCTGACAGTTCACAGTCTCTGAAGCCTATTTTATTGGCTTTGGGTATGATTTCAGTTTAGGATATTGTGACGTGTACATTCCCGGAAGAAAACTCAGGACTATAATTAAGGCATCTGAGAGAGTTCAGAAACTGCTCTTACTGAAATAGAGAAAATTTGCTGACTAACTTGTACTGTAAGACTAGTCTAAGTTTATGTAACTGGCCACAGGGCTGCCCAATCCTGTTCCTGGACAGAATTCTACAGAATCCTACAGAATTCAGCTCCAACAGACATCTGTAATCAAGTTTTCCTGAAGATCTTAATGAGCTGCTTCATGTGTGTTTAGTTTGTTTAGAGTTGGAGCTGAACTTTGCAGGAAGGTAGGTCTCCAGGAGCAGGACTGAACACCCTACTGTAGACTAACAGTGACCAGACAAGAACGAGTCCGAGGAGTGACCTACATCTGCAAACCTTCTGTGTTTTCTTGCATCCTCTTGCTTTTCTCTTTGCACATTTGTATTTCTCTCTTTCTATGCTATTAGCTCTGCACTCAGACACAGCTAATGGACGGCTGGCAGCCAGTAGGTCAGTCCACCTCCAATCTGCTGACACAACCCATTGCTCCTCCACAGGCGCCAGCTTACCTCACACAGGTACACCCTACTGCCGGCTCTTCAGCTGCTCAGATGCTGGATTTGTGTAATTTTGTGTAAACAGTGCACTGTATAAAGGACATTTGGCTGACCAAAGTTAGCATGCGTTTAGTTCTGATCGTGATGGTGGTTAATTCTTCCCATGCTACAATGCGCTTTTGTCTCCTCCTCCAGTTTCCTTCTATTAACACAGCTCAGTCATTTGGGACCCCTCTTCCTGGATGTGACTCGTACCCCGCCTGCTTTCCCTCTGTGCAGTCGTCCCCCGTCCCCACGCACCCCGACATCTCGCCAGTGTCATGTTCACAGATAGAGAGCTCTGCACTAACCCAGTACCCCCACCTGTCCTCCACCTCCCCTATACCCACACAATGTCCCGCTCCAGTGTTCGCGCCTCCAGTTCCCACAGTTCACCAGTACCAGCAGGCCTACTCTGTTGCTCAGCAGCCCGCTGTAAACTCCATAGCCACTCTCTCCCAACATTCCCACAGTCAGGCCACACCCACTGTGCACCAAAGCCCCCACCCCTCTCCAAACCCCGCCTCAATGTGTGTCGGAGTCCCTCCCACTAAACAAGCTCCGCCCACCCAGGTAGGGTATATCAGTGCCTTAAAGGGATAGTTCACACAAAAATTTAAATTCTGTAATCATTTACTCGCCTGCATGTCATTCCAAACGATGTGACGTTATTTGTCTTTCTTTTCGAACACATTCATGAAACGTATTCCTACTGGCACACTGGATTGAGTCTACTGAACATAATATGCATTGAATGGTTACCGAATTTTTGAATCACGACGGTTTTCAGAGGAAATATTTACCCGCGTACTAATTCAGTTTATAAAACGGATAGTTCTGGTCCTTGATTCTGATTGGCTGAGCCGCGTTCGAAGCTGTTGTAAATTACTCTACAAACATACACCTTTGTTTACTTCTGTGTGTTGCTGGGCAACCACTTTGTTGGAACCACAACTGTTTCTGAGGAGCTACATTGTTTGGTGGAAGAATACTGTTTATATTAATATCATTACACTTTATTTGCTCTGTTTTATTTTGTGAAACCTTTCTACGTATATGGAATAACCGTTTTATAAAAGCAATAAGCCCCGTGAAGCTGTGGTTTACAGTGAATTTATAACGGCTAAAGGGGCTTTAGCTAACAACGCCCCTTAGCTGTTATAAATTCACTGTAAACCATGGCTTCTTGGGGCTTATTGCTTTAATTAACATTCAAATTCAAATATTGTGAGTGTTTAAGTCATAGTGTCCCATTTTTTGACTACAGATTTGAAAGTTCATTGAAATTGTTTGAACTTGACCTATTCACGTATTTTGAAAAATCGTAAATTTTTCAGGGAGCCCAGCACCAAACTGTACATGTGGACCAGAACTCTTCGGGTAGCTCCGATCACGCCCGTGTCTCTCAGATGATGACACACTTGACTCCAGCTCCTGCTCAGAGCTCCAGCTTCCCGTCCCACAGCAGCTATAATGTGCCTCAGCCTGCTACAGTACCGCAGCTCTCGCCCTTCAGACCCGTCCTCGACACATTCGGCTCTGCTGTGACCGTGGACCAAAACCAGCCTCATCAGCACTCCAGCCAAGCCTTTTTACCCCCCGTCCTGCATGCTGGAGCCGGTGCCAGCCACCTGGGCAGCGGCAGTGTTACTCCAGTGCAGCAGCACAGCACCAGCGGCTGTGGAGGAACCTCCACTGAAATATTCACTGAGGTGACACGCTTCACTTCAGTATCTATACAGTGACAACATCAATAGGAATAAAGGCTCTGTATTATCGTGCTGCCTTTAGAGATATCTCATTTTGGATTAACTCAAAGGCAGCATCTCATTCTGCATTTTAGTGGAAAAGGCAATCCCATAACACAACGACAAGCTCCAAACACCATTAGTGATGTGTACAGTACATGCAGCGGTCACTTCAAGGAAGTATTATTGTCGTTTACGATCATGTGATCATAAGTGTCATTTTGTATCCAGAGGATCTTTTTCTTACCTCTGATGCTCTCAGGCACCCAGGATTGGCAGCAGAAATGCTTAAATCTTTTCTTATTTTCATGTTGGCTTGTTTTTACCAAAGTCCACATGGACAGACAGACTGTATGTACATTGTAATAAATTTGATTTGCATCATAAATCTTTACAGCTATAAACAATTTTGATACTGCGTTATCTAGGTAATATTCTGTTCTACATAAAGTGGCAGTGATGCATAGATTTGCGTGGGGTGCGCCAGGAGATATCATAGATTATAAATGGAATTAATTTATTGGTTTAGTCCAATTAATGGACTGTTTTACTACATTTTTGCGTGTGCTGTGTATTTTTGTATTTATATTTAGCCTAGCAAAATGCAATCTCTAGTGGCATCATGTGCCATTGCCATTGAATTCATTGCCTTCTGTGCACTTTAGGAGCATGTTCCTGATACACAGGCAGCACCAGCTGGGTCCACTTATGACAGGTGGGATTCTCTGTTCATAGATCAGTGCCATATTCTCGTTTTCATCTTGCCTTATGCATGCAGAAGCTCAGTGATTGGGTCTTTGCTCTTTTGCAGTATAAACTCAGATGCCACAGCCGGTAAAGAGGTGAGCGATGGGAACGAGGGTTCCAGCAGGGCTCGCAGTGAATCACGAGTGCGAAAACCCAATCGCAAAACGTCCCGCACGCGCTTCCGGCAAGACACGATCAACAGACCCAAACTCACCATGATCAAAGTGAGTCTGGATCTCACGGTGAAACAGATGCAGAATGTCCAAACATGATCTTAAAGAGATAGTTCATCCAAAAATGAAAAGTAACCCGTGATTTATTCACCCTCAAGCCAGTCTAGGTGTATATGACAAAATCTCAGCCTCCATTCACTCCCATTATAAAACTTGGAAGAGCCAGGACATTTTTTAATATAACTCCGATTGGATTCGTCTGAAAGAAGAAAGTCATACACTCCTAGGATGCCTTGAGGGTGAGTTAATCATGGGCTAATTTTCATTTTTGGGTGAACTATCACTTTAAGATGCTAGCTGTCAAAAATAAAGTGATTTATGAAGTTTATAACTGTTTGAGTGTTTCATGGGTTAAAGCTCAGACCTGAGTTCTGGTTTGGACATTAGAAAACCTAAAATAAATAGACATGCTTCTGATAATGTTGACACAGTTCTTTCAGAGGCATTACGATTGTAAATAGTAAGATTGTAATTCATTAATTTATTTATTTTCTTGAAGTTCCTGTTGTCATATTCTCTGTGACTGTGTTACAGGTGTGTGACACAGGAGACAAGATGGTGGAGTGTCAGCTGGAGACTCATAACCATAAGATGGTGACGTTTAAATTTGACCTTGATGGAGATGCTCCAGAGGAGATTGCCACATATATGGTGAGATCTTCACCTCTACTTTCTCGCTCCCTCCCCATATGCCCTTCTCTTCTTCTGACAATCTCCTAGAGGTGATGTGTTTCAAACTCCTGGGCTAAAGTTTGTGGAAGCCATTTTTCTTAAGTAAACGTGGTGGGATTTGGAGTAGGAATGGGCTAAAAGTAGAGGTCGACCGATAAGGGTTTTTCTCTGGCCGATGCCGATATTTAGAAATCAAGGCAGCCGATGGCCGATATATGATGCTGATTCTTTTTGGCCGATATGTTTGACCGATTGTTTTTTCCCTTCATCTCATAAAAGCGAGTTTGAGTAAATGATTATTGCAGGGCACAAGATGGTAATAGTAGTAGTAGTAGCCTAATTCATAGTAATAATACATGGCTCAAAACTTAAGCGCCTTCTCAAAAGTCAGTGAACAACGGCTCTGTGTAGTTAATGCTGCTCAATGTGAAAGCCCGCAGGTGATGGAGATTTACGCTGATTACAGAACCGGCTTTACTGATAAGATGCGCGTTAAATATCGCATGCGATTTATCGTGCAGCCCTAATGTATAGGAAACACTGGACTCTGCTATAAGTCAAATATCCAAGTGGTAACAAAAATAAAAGAGTTCACACATATTACACAGCCTGCTGCTCATGACTGCTTAAGAGTGCACTGGCCACGAGCGATGACATCGTGGAGGCTATTGTCGGACCCACCTTTCATGAGGAAAGTTAATGTGCACGTTATAATCAGCCCAGAAGTTTCGTCTGAATTGCATGTTTCTACTTTCACATGCAAATGACTTGTTGCACTTATGAATATGATAACTTCCGGCATAAATTCTAGTAGGGTAAAACGTAATTACGCTTTCGAAACGGTCTGTTTTGCCCTGCCATCATTAGCTGAAGCTGTGTGTGAACAAGAAGCGGCTGCAGAGTGTGAGTTGCTCCGTCTCACGCAGCCAGAGAGAGATTCTCCGGTGTTCCATAACAACACTTAGCTGCCCGCAGATGCACTTGCCCATAAATCGGCCTAATTTGCAGCATAATCGGCCGATGCCGATTAATTAAAAATGCCAAAAATCGGCCGATTAATCGGTCAACCTCTAGCTAAAAGTTTTACAAATATGTAAAACTAGAGTAATGAAATAACCAGGTATTATTGCATGTTTAATCACATAAATTAAGTACTTTTACATTTTCATTTCATTAAAAACACAAAACAAAAAACAACATAAACAGTGAAACTTAAATGATTGACTCTAAATTCTCATTTCTTTTCTCATCTCAAATGCACAATTCTGTGGTTAGTTGCATTACGTTAATTGTATTTAGCAAACAACACATCAGAACACAACTGAGACATTTTTTGGAGCAAACCCACTGGTTCAGAACCACCGCATTAGTGCTTTATTGACATGTGAAATGTTGTTCATGTTCAGTGTTCCTTATATATAACTCACTGAATCTTAATTGGGCATACTGTATATGCTTGAGCTGGTTTTCTTAATGAGAGAAACAGATGAGTGGGCTCAAAGTGCTGGCTCTTGTTTCTGGTCCTCCAGGTTGAGAATGAGTTTATTCTGTTGCTGGAGAGGAAGATGTTTATTGAGCAGCTGAAGGAGATCATGGATAAAGCTGAGGACATTCTGAATGAGGACGCTGGGGGTGAGAAGGCATCTGTCCAGACCTCACCGCTCCGTCAGACGCCCGTTGCAGCAGACTCCGGCATGCAGGTCTTACTTAATACAGACATGCTTTAGACATTTTATTATATTATTATATATGTTTTTTTTTTAATAAATAAGCGCAGAATCGAATCAGCTTTGTGTTGCCAGCAGTGATCGTGTCAAGAATGAGCCACATTTCCATGTGTGTAGTGAAATGTGGATGTTTAGGAAAGTGCTGCTGTGAGTTTTTGTGCCATCTAGTGGTTAAGAGGAAAATAAAATCAAACGCACCTTTTACCCTGCTGTGTCTTTAGGTTGTACCCTACTGTGTAAATGTAAAGGTGAAGTGTGTCATTTCTGTGCCACTAGCATCACCAAACAGAACTGAACTTGTCTTCTGTATTCAGGGGTCAAAACCTGAGCGCACGCAGTCTGACCAGCTAGTCTACAAACAGAACGGTAAGACCACGACATATCTCACTGTAGCTACTGTAGAATGGGCGTTTAACCCACAGTCTGCCTTGACTTGCAGTGCTTCACACCGGAAAGCGCTGGTTCATCATCTGTCCTGTGGCTGAGACGGCCGCGCCTGACAGAGAAGAGGCCGTCTCCAGTAATTCAGCACACAGTGCATTTTTAGCATTAACTCATATGCACTTGCAGATGATTATCTCACACTATTACTTGTGTTTTACAGACCCAGAGAGCTCCTCTACATCTCAAATGCAGGATGTCAACACAGCCGGTGCCAAACCTCTGCAGAAGCGGCCATCATTGCTCTCTGAGGTCGCTCCGTTGGCCGAGGGCCCTCAAGCTGCCTGTGCGGCGGGTGTTTCTGTGGTTTCTGACATCCCGTGCTGCCCCCTTGTGCCTCCTGTTTCACTCGATGTGGTGGCTCAGAAAGCCATGGAGGGCCCTCAGCAGCCCGTCGCCCACACCAGCAGCCCCAGCTCAGAGCCGCCCTTGAGCCAGACCCAGCCCGTGGTGCTGCAGCAGCCCTTTGCCACGGCCACTCCACAGGCTTCTGTCACCAGCGGTCAATCACAGCTCCAGAGCCCCACCCATCAGCCCCAGAGCTCCACCCATCAGTCTCAAAACTCCACCCATCAGCCCCAGAGCCCCGCCCATCAGCCCCAGAGCTCCACCCATCAACCTCAAAACTCCACCCATCAGCCCCAGAGCCCCGCCCACCAGCCCCAGAGCTCCACCCATCAGCCTCAGAGCCCAACGCATCAGCCTCAGAGCTCCACCCATCAGCCCCAGAGCCCCACTCATCAGCCCCAGAGCTCCACCCATCAGCCTCAGAGCCCCACCCATCAGCCCCAGAACGCCCCGCAGGTGCAGCCGGGCGAATCAGACGGGGAAGGGCCACCCAGGCTGGAGTTTGCAGACAGAACCATAAAGACTCTGGATGAGAAACTGCGAAACCTTTTGTACCAAGAGTACCACCCCTCGCAAACCGTGAGCTCCGCCTCCGAGCCGCCCGGATCACCTCCGCTGTCCGACAGCCAAGGCAGTGATGGAGCCGTGAGGAATGCAGAAAAACTGGTACAGTCAATCCTCCTCACATTCACAAACAATATGAGCTGTCAGGATGTTTTGTTAAGAATAATTGCTAAAATATTCAAGGGTCTACAAATCTTGATTTTAGTAACACATTTTTAGTTACTACACTGATTTGCTCTGAAGTCTCAGATACATTATTTTGATACATACTTCTTTTGAGTTGGACGTGACGGTAACTGTGCTCCAGTCAGTTCAGTTATGTAACTGAGTCAAGTTATTAGTGCTGATTCATGAGACTTTTTGACAGATTTATCAAGAGAATAGGCTCATAGGAGCAGTTCATTCATAAGTCACGATTCATTCGTTAATGAATCTGGCCACACTGGTCACATGTATTGTGTGTTATGTGCAACTAGCAGGAAAGGCGCAAAAGATGTCTCTTCGTCTTGTTGTCTTGTAGTTAATTTTTACCACGGTGTGGTAGATTCAGTAGTGGCATAGCACCGTCAAATAGTGGAATCCACTTTGCGGAAGATTTCAGATGAAATTCAGAAGAAATCTTTAGTCTTTTTAATGGAACCAGTTCTGAATAATAACCAGTTTTTATACATCAACCCTGTTACCATCATTAAAATAAATGTCTTTTTTCCTTGTTTTTTAGTAACATTATCTTATGTTTTGTGTGTTAAAACCTGTTACACTTGATTTTCTGTAGTGAACAATTGATTGTTGAAAACTGGATATTTGTAGAAATATAGTTCTGTTTATTAGCACCAGAGGAGTAGAAATGGTCAAATAGACTGTACAACTGTCAACCGGTTACCTTCAATCTGGTTATTCTCTGAAGAAATAGTTATATCCCAACTCATCCATTTTCATTCATTTTGCTGGACGGCACAGTGCAGTGCAGAAGCACCTAAAAATATTTCATAATGGCAGAATAAAATCACCCTGAATCACTTGTGTTTGTATATTCCTCAATTTTTATTTGCCTTGGACAACATTATTTGCTAAATGAATACAGTTGATGTTATCAACTGGCTTTAAATAGCTATTTGTGAGTTGTGCAGGTTTTAGGTCTAGGATGCTGTTTTTTTTACTTTGTTGATGTTAGTTCTGTGGGAAAAATGATTTTAATGTTATACCATAATTCTCAGGTTTTCTTTAACGTTGTCTTTGTTTCTTGTAGCCTCAGATTCCAGAGAGGTCTGACAGTCTCGGGACCTTGAGTGATTCTGCTGTTGCCCGTAAGTGTGTGTATAAGCATGCTAATCTAGATTCTGGATATACTGTATACATATACTGCAGACTGCAAAGAATTGTCACAATTGACAGCTGTGTTATTGTTGTGCGTCTCTTTCTTTTCTATTTTTCCAAATGGTGATCAGCCTTCAAAAGACTTCTGACCAGAAAAGACTCCGGGGCCACTTCTGCTACACACACATCTAAGAGCAACTTCCAGGTTACCAGTGATTTTTAAAAAAATATATAAATTATATAATGTGCTTCTCTGAAATGACAGGTCACAGTTTGATAGCATTCTGTGTCCTGTAGATTGAGCAGACAGATTCAGATGTGTCTTCTCATGATGGTGGAGGAGATCATGTGATTGATTTTGAGTCTGTTCCTGTAACTGAGAACGGACACAGATCCACATCAAAGTCACAAAGCAACAGTTACTCAGCACCTCCTGACTTATATCAGGTTTGTCTGAAGCGCAGGGTTCGTCTGAAATAGCATACTGTATACCAGTATATTATGCACAGTAACACCAGTGTAACCCACATATGTTTTTGTCAAAATGTGTAGTGTACACTTGACTTTTCATTTCCAGTGTGACATGAGAGGAATGACCGTCATGATTCAACATCTCTTTCCTGACTCATTATTTGATCAGACTGTCAGAAGTTAAGACCCACTGAATTAAACAAGTAAAATGATGAGGTCATGTGACAGCAATGTTGCACACTACTTTTTGAAATGTTACTGTTTCACATACTGTACAGTATTCCATTCCAAACACAGAATCCATCAATTAAAATGTTTTATTTATTTAACTATTTACTTGATTTTAAATATTTATTTTTTGTATTTGCATACATTTTGTTCAGTAAAATGATGAGGTCATGTGACAGCAATGTTGCACACTACTTTTTGAAATGTTACTGTTTCACATACTGTACAGTATTCCATTCCAAGCACAGAATCCATCAATTAAAATGTTTTATTTATTTAACTATTTACTTGATTTTAAATATTAATTTTTTGTATTTGCATACATTTTGTTCTTTTGTCTGACATTGTCATTCATTTGCATTTGTTTTTTCAGGACACAACTACTTCCTTTCCAGAGGCCAGACCCACAATGCCTTGCGCTCAGAGCTTGCTGTCAGCGGATGGGACAGCGCAGTACCTGTCCTCTGACACAGGAGAGGAGGGTCAGAGCGAGACTCCATCTGTTAAGCCCACTTCTCCAGCTCCTGCCCCGTCAGAGTGCAGCGGCGGGGACTTCATGAAGCGGGCGGTGGCTTTCCTCCGGCACTCGGGTCACAGCAGCAGTGTCCAAAGCTCCGACTCGCCCCCTTGTCCTCTGGTGAACGGACACGCCCCCTCAGTTAGCGGCCACGCCCACTCCGCTTACGTCAGCAGTGATAACGACTCTGAATTTGAGGACACTGATATGAAACGAGAGCTGCAGAAGCTGAGAGAGAAGTGAGTAAAGCTCGAAGCGTTTCAGCGAAAACTGCCTCACAAAGGCCTCATTTACCACCACTCACCCTCCTTCATTTCTTAACACAGGTTAATACACTTTTTGCTAAATAAGAGAATGAAAACCATAACAAAAAGTTTGATGTCTGCAGGCACATGAAGGAGATCTCCGAGCTTCAGGCTCATCAGAGAGGAGAGATCGAGCAGTTGTATTCTCGGTTAGGTCGACCGTTTCCTCCCAGCATGGGCTTCTTGCATGCAGTGCCGCCTACAGGCCGCTGCCGCAGAGCCTCCAAACACAAGCTGAAGGGAAGCCGACTGCTCAATCCCATGGTGCAACAGCTTAGGAACAACCGAAGCAACAGCTCTAGTATGTATGCGAAAGTCTGTGTGGGCTGGAGTTAGGGCTGCAACAAACAATTATTTTGATAATCAATTAATCTAACGAAATGAGATGGCAGAGAAACTCTCTTATTCACCATTTAATTAGCTATATGAAAAAGTAGCTGAATGACACATCATTCTGCCTAAAATATCTTTTTGTAAGTCATATGGATAAGAAACAAAATAAAAGTTAAGTGATAAGACGTTTTTTTTTTTTTGGGATGAACTAATATTCACAACATAATCTCTTAAAATACCTTATAGGGTTATGATAATCAAAACAGTCCTGAGCTAGATCAAGCTTTGATCTCTGCAAACCAAACTATAACTTTAATGAAATGTTTTTTTCCCCACTAATAAAAATATTTTATCATTAGCTAGCTCCACACTGGAGAGCTGCTTTATAACAGAAAATCAAGTTGTAATTCTAACTGAAAGCAACACTGACTCTGGTTTTTCATGTTTAATAATACTGTAAAGCTGCTTGATTTAAAGCTATCTATTGCATAAAGTACTATATAAATAAACGTGACTTGACTAGACTTTTCTTTACTGGAGTACTGAACTGCAGAGCTCGAGCAAACATCCACATCACTGTAATCAGATGCGTTTTAAACTGCTGCTTTCTCACCGCTGTCAGTTTTTGATGTGTTTATTTTGTTATTGAGAGGAAAGCGCGCAGTATATATTTACATATTCATCCAAACGCCGCTCAGCAGCCTCAGTTCTCTTTCAGCCATATGTTTCGGTGTCTCACTATGGGATACGCCCCTTCCGCGTATTCCTTAGAAGCCCAATTCTATTACGCCAGCCCCAATAGGCTGGCAGACATGACGTTGCGTCAGGGAGTGGCTCCCTCCCCTCGGTATATAAGGAGCGACGCAACGTCATTACGACATTCAAAAAACTCTTCTCACTTCACACCAGAAGCCTACCCAACTCAGATAGCCATCAACTAGTCTCCACGCTGGTTGCTGGCTTATCATTTTGGTAGTGTACTATAGTCGATTTGTTGGCTACCACGCCGCTTTCGCCTACCTTCAATCGGCACTCCAGCTCATTGTTAGGGTCATTCAGTACCGCAACTATGGCTGCAGCAATGCAGACTACCCTAGCAAGAGAGGGAGATCCGCGGCTTTGCTCATGCGGGAACAAGATCTCATGCAAAGACACACCAGGCCTGCTCTGCATGTCTTGGGCTGAAAAACATGCCCATGGCGATCGAATGTCCCGGCTCCTGTGAGCACTGCACGCGTTTCACCATGAAGAGCCTCCGTCGCAGGTTAGCACGCCAAGCTAGCTTGTCTGGCCAGGATCGAAAGCCCCTGCTCCTGTGAGCACTGCGCGCGTTTCACCATGAAGAACCTCCGTCGCAGGTTAGCACGCCAAGCTAGCTTGTCTGGCCAGGATCCCCTCATGTCAGCTAGCCCCGCTCCGGTTTCCGCCCCTCAGGTATCCATTCCTGTGGAGCTGCCCACCATGGCAGCTCTATCGTGGGGTGAACAACTGGATGTTTGCGCCCCTCTGCCAAGTGTCCTCAGCACGGATGAGGAGGAGGAGGACGCGTTTGAATTTGAGGAAGAGGGGCAATCGGATTTTCTTCTCTCTGAAGAGGAGGAAGATTTCAAGGATTCCCCTTTCCTTCCCCCTGCGCAACCGGCACAACCCCTCGCTACGGCGGGATCCACGGGGTAGTCGGGCGGGGCACCATCCTCTCTGCTTCTTGGTGTTGATTTGCAAGACGTGTGCAAACTCGCAGCAGAGAAACTAAATATTCCGTGGCCGACCGTAGTAGCTGAGGCTGCAAAGTCGCGCTATGTCTGCCAAGTGTCCTCAGCACGGATGAGGAGGAGGAGGACGCGTTTGAATTTGAGGAAGAGGGGCAATCGGATTTTCTTCTCTCTGAAGAGGAGGAAGATTTCAAGGATTCCCCTTTCCTTCCCCCTGCGCAACCGGCACAACCCCTCGCTACGGCGGGATCCACGGGGTAGTCGGGCGGGGCACCATCCTCTCTGCTTCTTGGTGTTGATTTGCAAGACGTGTGCAAACTCGCAGCAGAGAAACTAAATATTCCGTGGCCGACCGTAGTAGCTGAGGCTGCAAAGTCGCGCTATGGGGGTAAGAGGCTGCCGAGAGCTAAACGGGCAGCGAGACAACTCCTTCCAATCTTTCCAGAGCTTCTGGAAGAGGTTTCCGTCGCCTAGAAGGACGATCCTTTTACTAGTAAAATGCCCGTGCAGGGAGGATCTGTGCTTGACGTGGAGGGGATGGAGAAGGAGGGCCTTCTTCGCATGCCCCCTATGGAGCCTTTAGTCGCCGCGCATCTGCATTCAAAGCGCACGGCGGCCGCAAACCCGACATTGCCATCAAAAGCGGACCACTTCCAGTCAAGCATGACGGAGCGCGCTTACAAAGTAGTCGCTCTCTCAGACCGGGCCATGAAAGCCATCTCTCTGCTCACCGCATACCAGCCGGAGCTGCAAGACGAGGTGTCTGCCACGCCAAGTCAGGCACAGTGGGAGGAAATCTGTATTATCACAGATCTCTCGCTCCGTATTCAGAGATGTGCCGTTCAGACTGCGGGCAAGGCCATGGCCACAATGGTCATTCAGGAGAATGGCTTAATTTGGCTAATCTCTCTGATAGAGAAAAGGAAGCCATTTTAGATGCACCGGTCGTCGCAGAAGGCATTTTCGGCTCAGTGCTGACACGGATGCTGAAGAGATGCGAGGAGAAGAAAAGGGATGACGAGGCCTTGCAGCTCTGCATGCCAAGGAAGACGCAGACTGCGCCTCCTCCACCTCCTCGGCAGACCTTCGCGCAGGCTACAGCTCGCCCACCCCCCAGCTTTCGCATTCCTAAGCGACAGAGACCGCGTGTGAATGCAGCGGCAGGTCAGAGCTGCGCAGCAGAGCAGAAACCCGCCTGGACCAGGAAAAATTATCCGCCCGCAACAGCTCAGACGGACCAGCCGGCTCCTCATTCTACCCAGGTGATGAGGAGGAAGAAAAAGGCCGTTTGAAGGGGTCTTCCTGAGGAAAGGGGGCTCACAGCCCCGCCGTTCGCTAGTCCCCGACCCTCAGGTGTTCAGCGTTCAGCAGAAAGCAAGTTCAGATGTTTACGGATGTTCTGTGGGGAAATCAGAGCCAAGTTGTGCCAGGGGCCGCAGAGCAGTGAATAGAACGAGAGACGATGCAGTGGTACACACCCACCCACTAGTCACAAGCACTTTACATGCTCAAAGTTCAATAAAGTTTTCACTGTTTCCCCAACAAATGTTGCAAAACATAATGCCCCAAAAAATGTTGCAAAACACTTTATCAGAACATAGCATAACACCACCTCGGGGAGTCATCGCTCCGCTGAAGGTGGTGAGCCGGAAAAAGGGACTCGAGCACTCCGTCCCATATTAGATCTTCGTGCACTGAACAAATACCTAAGGAAGTACAAGTTCAGAATGCTCACCCATTCTATACTTCTGAAATTGGTGCTCCCTGGCGATTGGTTTACCTCAATCGACCTGAAGGATGCATATTTTCACATAAGAATATATCAACCCCACAGGACATTTCTGAGGTTTGCATTCCTTGGCGTGGCATACGAATATCTAGTCCTTCCCTTCGGCCTGTCCCTCAGCCAGAGGGTATTCGTGAAATGTACAGAAGTGGCCCTAACTCCGCTCAGGGAGAAAGGCATTCGTCTCGCTACCTACATAGACGACTGGCTGGTGACAGCTCAATCGGAGCACAAAGCGAGAGATCACACTGCCATGCTCCTAGAACATCTATAGAAACTGGGATTAAAATTAAACACCGAAAAGAGTGTTTTAGTTCCCAGACAGTCAATAACGTATCTGGGGTTGTTACTCAGAGCGCGACTGTCAGTGGAGAGGGTAATAAAATTTACGCAATGCCTGGCCGAATTTCGGAAAGGGAACAGTGTTTCTTTTAGCACATGCCTCAGACTATTAGGTCTGATGGCCTCAGCTCTAATAGTCATTCCCCTAGGCAGACTATTTATGAGAGAGTTTCAATGCTGGGTAGCCTCTCTGAGACTGGACCCGTTACGGCACTCCCAGAGGAGAGTAAGAGTGACGTCAGTGGCTGTCTTGGCACTGCGTCACTGGCAACGCCTGTGCTTTCTGGTGCAAGGGGTACCTATGGGCATTGTCCAGGCCAGGAAGGTCATAACGACGGATGCGTCGTTGTCCGGCTGGGGGGGCATTCACGAGGGCAGGGCAGTGAATGGGAGATGGGGTCCCCACCTGAGCCACTGTCACATAAACTACTTGGAAATGCTGGCTGTCTTTCTAACATTGAAGCATTTTCTTCCTTTTCTGAAAGGACATCATGTTCTTGTGAGAACTGACAACACTACAGTTGTGGCTTACATAAACAGGCAGGGAGGTCTCAGATCACTCCCCTTACACATGTTGGCATGCAAACTGATTTTGTGGAGCAATGCCAGTCTTTTATCCCTGAGGGCGACGCACGTACAAGGGATCATGAACCAGGGTGCAGATCTGCTGTCCAGGGGAAAGCCCCTTTATGGAGAGTGGAAGCTGAACACAGAAGTGGTCGGTCAAATTTGGAGCATATACGGCAGAGCGACAGTGGATCTGTTCACGTAGCAGGACAATGGTCAATGCCCTCTGTTCTTCTCTCTGAGAGATCAGAGCGCGCCTCTGGGAATAGACGCACTGGCGCACGAGTGGCCTCGCACTCTCCTGTACGCGTTCCCACCGATAGCGTTGATATCCCCAGCCCTTCACAGAGTGAGGAGACCAGACAGTGTCATCAGAACTATACAGAATTCTAGGGCCCTGTCCACTCGGTCACTCTATGAATGTAAATGGGGCGTGTTTGAGCATTGGTGCATGGCTAGACAAGTAATTCCCTTTCAGTGTTCGGTGGCAGTTGTTCTATCTTTTCTGCAGGATCTGATAGATCAGGGTAAAGCGTTCTCAACCATAAAGGTGTTTCTGGTCGTGATATCTGCCTGTCATGTAGGTTTTGATAACAAAACTGTTGGGCAGCATCCTTTTGTATGCCGGTTTATGAAGGGCGCACGTCGTGCTTTACCAGTCTCAAAACCGATTTCTCATTCATGGGATCTGGTTCTGGTTCTTGATGTGCTTTCTGTGACTCCATTTGAGCCACTGGACAAGGCTGACCTGAAATTATTGTCGTTTAAGATGGCGCTGCTGTTAGCTTTGGCTACAGCGAAGCACGTAAGTGAAATTCACGCACTCTCGGTGCATTCACCGTGTATGCAATTTATAGCAGGGGACGCAGGGGTGCTTTTGAAACCTAATCCTGCCTTTATGCCCAAGGTGGTCCATTCTATTATTCCTCTCGAGTTAAGAGCCTTTAACCCACCGCCTTTTGCTTCAGCAGAACAGCAAAGGCTGAATACGTTATGTGCGTGCTTTAAGTATTTACACGGAGAGAACTAAAGGGTTCAGAGAGAGTGATCAGCTGTTTGTGTCTTGGGCGAAACCGCGTACGGGAAAGCCGATTACTAAACAGTGTTTATCCCACTGCATAGTGGAGGCAATTTCTCTTGCATATTCTAGTAAGGGTCTTACGCCTCCGTCTGGTTTACGTGCTCACTCAACGAGAGGAATGTCGACGTCATGGGCTCTCTTTAAAGGGGTCACGTTACAAGATATCTGTGAAGCGGCGAGTTGGTCCTCACCACACACATTTGCAAGGTTCTATAAACTGGATGTTACAGCTCAAACGTTTGCACATGCAGTATTGAGCGTTGGATCTTGAGTGTTGACTTAACCAGCTCTATAATAGTTTCTTTGGTTGGCAGGAGACTTTGAGACAGGCTATCTGGCAAAACGGGAGTTAGGATATCCCATCGTGAGACACCGAAACGTATGCTTGAAAGAGAACAATAGGTTACTTGCGTAACCCCGGTTCTCTGATAGCATTAAGTGAGAATGTCGTAATGACGTTGCGTCGCTCCTTATATACCGAGGGGATGAAGCCACTCCCTGACGCAACGTCATGTCTGCCAGCCTATTGGGGCTGGCGTAATGGAATTGGGCTTCTGAGGAATACGTGGAAGGGGCGTATCCCATAGTGAGACACCTCACTTAATGCTATCAGAGAACCGGGGTTACACAAGTAACCTATTGGTTTGTCTGCGTTTGCTCTGAAGCGCTGCAATTAGCTGATTTGCATCAGGAGAGCTGAATTACAGTCTTGCGCTACAGCGCCACACTGGTGAAACCACGTTATTGCAGGCTCTTACATTAGGTCATATGAGAACAAACGACTACTCGAAAACAAAAATTTGTCGAAAATGTTTTATTGTCGACGTTGTCGATAATGTCGACTAATCGTTTCAGCCCTAGCCGGACAGCCTGCTTGACGTCTGTACCAAGTTCTAGGATGAGATACTGTTAGAAATTTGGTCTCGGAAGAAGCTTAAAGGGGACTTTTACATGGTGATTTGCATATAAATGTGTCTTAGCAGTGTGTGAACACAACCACCCTACAATGATAAAAATCCATTCACTATTTTTGTATAATCCCCAAAAAACCTGAACAGTCTCAATAATCAAATTGTTTTGCTTTTCTTAGCGGTATGACGTCATATTGCTCAAGCCCCGCCCACGACCGCTGACAGACTGTCCTGTATTAGCATATCTCCGCCCTCAGCCTGTTGTATGCTGTCCCCCATTTTCTTCACTCTCAAGCAGCTGCAGCGACAGCAATGACTCATAAGCAATGCAGGTGTTTTGTAGTTGGATGTAAAAGTGAACATAAGAGTCTTCATTTTCTCCCGGCATCAGAACCACTGAGGACGCAGTGCATTCGTTTTGTTTTTGATGGTAACGCACCACCAAATACACCAAAAGCGGAAGAGAGGGGCACGGTGAGCAGTGGCTCCTTATCATTTAAAGAGACATGCACCGAAATGGCTTGCTGTGAACAGAGCTGTTTTTGACAAAGTAAAAAGGGTTTTGTTTTACACGACCACTGAGGAATTTTAACCAAAGTATGTTGCAGACAGTTCATGAAGACCCTAAAGAATCACACCAACTTGTGGAAAATGGGAATCCGATATCCCCTTTAAATAGTAGATCAGTGTGTTGGCTTGGCAAAGTAATTATATTAATAATTGTACAAATAATTATATTTTAAATAATAACGTTTTCAGATATGCAGTCTACTCCAGTTACGTGCAACCTGTGCAGCTTTGTATTTTAATTTGTCTAAATTCTTTTCAACTTTAATCCACCAAAACGAAAGTTGGATTTTCTGAGCAAATCACACTATAAAAACCCAGATCGTCACGTCAACCCTCTGTGTTCTCCTGTAGCTGAGACGTGCTCCAGTGTGTCGGGGTCTCCGGTCAAGAGTTCGGATCTGGGTAACAGCTCAGTGGGATCCAGCACAGCCACGCTGAGCCCCATGTCAGAACCACTGGAGCCGGTCCAGACTCAGCAGCCCTGCTCGCTCAAGGTCTCTCTGTCCTCTGACAACATCTATGGCCCCACCACACACACAGCACCCCAACAAGGTGAACACACTCACACGGCTGTTGTCTACAATAGCCTGTCAAGCATATGCTGCTGTACATATTTGCTGTAAATGCATCTGCCGCTGCCCTAACCAGCCACAGTTAAACAAATGTCTTAACGTCCACTGTCCTCGTTGAATGCAAAATGCATCATGTAGTAACACAATCACGGCCGATCACATCATATTTGATAACTGATGCAATTATGTGAAGCAAGACTTTAGTGTTTGGAGCTGCCCTAATCAACACACATAGAAACCAAACCATATGATTTATTGCTTGATACACATGCCGCCTGGCTCGGATGCAGTGTTCTCATGTTCTAGATCAGGGGTTTTCAGCCTTTTAG